GTAGAAATAGACAATATTTTCCTTAATTGATATAAAATAATTACAAATATGTTATATGTAACAAATCTTATTATCTTCACTTCAACACACATATATAATTGCTTCTTTATATTTTTGTATTTTGTAAAACAAAAATCAAATTTGTATTTTATGATGGCATTTTTAAATATAATTTTGCTGATATTAAAAATAATTATACAAATATTATTTTAATATCCTTTTTCCATTAAATTACCCAAATGCAAGTCATAATAAATTTCCGGCCCAAATGTCTCCTAAGTGGTTTTTAATATCGGCTTATGTACAAATCACAGTCGTCCGTAATGTATTCGTTTTAATAATTTTTTGTTTTTACTTTAATATTCTTTGGAAAACAAACAAATGTTATAATTTACATTTTCATACACCAAGCCCCTGGAACGCCCACAGTAAAATTAATAATCAGAATAAAATAACAACACAATCCGATGAATAAACAAATCAACAATTTGAAACGTCATCAACATCAAAACAATCATTATCAAAGACCTTACGATAAAAACGACACCGACCATAATTTGAAGACCTCATAACAAGATTTTTGGACTAGGCTTTTGGATTTTAAACACCCAAACAAGCAAATAAATCGTGTAGTGTGTAATGTGTATTGTGTATTTGGTAGTGTGTAATGTATAGGTTGTGCAATGTAATGTATGTAAGGAATAATATTCATTTGGATGTATGCATACACTCGCTAACCGTCAAAACAACTAAGGAGGGTTAGCGTATGCCATTATTTGTGGCCTTTTAATGATAGGTTGTGTTACAATTATTTTCATGTTCCAACCGGCCGTGGTTGATGATTGTGGTAATTAGCAGTGATTTGTATCAACGTTGAGTCGGCTTACTTTAATTGTTAGTGGATTGGATTGGTATGATTTGCCTTGGCCTAGGTTAGCAATCCTGCGCACCTAACCGCGCTATTATACTTTAGTGAAAGTGCTTATATATCTGCTTTAGAAATTATTATTGTGATGGCTTTTAATTTCTACTCAAGTGGTGATATATTTACTCATATGAAGTGGGGAAATAATTCGAAATATAAGCTGGAGTTCAAATTAGACAGCACTTTAAAAATCTGAATTAGTAGTAAGTCACTAACATATCTCTGCCAATAACAAAAGTATATAATAACTCTGCATTTATTTATAGAAACTAAAAAAAAAACTATCAGATAGATCCGTTACTAGCGCATGTATTTGTCAATATTTAGTTCCACAATAAGTATCTGTTATTAAAAAGTCCTATTCACATAGGAATGCATTATTTTGTAGTTAGAATAACTCAAAGTACTTAAGTTCCATAAGCGCTAGCAGAGTGCAGTGCTACTACACCAACTTAAAAGTTAAGTATCAGCGCTAACAGGATACATGGACTATGTGAGTATTATCATGATGAAGAGAAAGTAAAATCTTTCAATCACTTTCTAAGTCTCTGCCCAGGATTACAGATAGAGCTTCAAGGAAACTCAACTATTCAGATCTTTTTTGGTACATCCTGGAAATCAAGTGGTTTCTTATGATAATATAAGAAGTTATGTTGAAGGCAATGCTAAATGTAACTTGCATCCTTCTCATAATTTTAAAGACTTCACAATGAGCCATAGTTCTTCATGAGTATATAAGCTGATATCAAATGAGTCAATGGATTTTGACAATTTGTTTACGTTTTCTTTCGGGTTTTTGTTTAAATAATTGTTAGAAAAATATTAATATTACATATTTATATTATTTATATTTATTTACTATTTTTATTTATTTTTAATTACTGTGATGCTTTCTTAATATCATATTGACAAATCATTTAAAAAGAAGTGATAGTAAAAGCGATAGAATATATAAGTAATAATATCACATAATATAATCAAATAATAATAATTGTATGTATAAAACTTTAATAAATATTTGTATCATTTTGAAGAGATATTATAATATTATACATACCATTATATCTAGAAATTGACAACTAGTCCCCATACCACTTCCACAAATTTGACTTTTTCCATTAACATCATTCATTAATTGAAATGATTATTTATCTCTTTTGTTGACATTTTGCTAAGGAAGGAATTAAATGTATTTACATATGAGCAATTAAAAAACATATGTATTTATACTAGACATCTGTTGTAACGGTATATAAGAACTATAACTAATATAACGGATCCACTCTACGCCCTCGATATTTCAACCCACTTTCCTTCTTTTTTTTTGATGTTTCGCTAAAGAAGAAATAATATATAATTATAAAGAGTTAACAAACCCAGATGTTAAAATATTAATAAATACTAGACATCAATAAAATTGGCATCAAAGCATTGGAATTGAGGTGACGGCTTTACATCATCACGCCCACGATATTTTAAATCTTTTTTCTTCTTTTTTGACATTTCGCTAAAAAAAGAAACCAAAATACTTACACATGTGCAATTCAAAAGAAAATAAATAAAATATATATATGTACTAGATATCCTTTGCGGCAGTATCTAAGAATTGGAACTGATGTAACGGATCCACTTTACGTCCATGGTACTTAGGCCCCCTTTGTTTTCTCTTCCTTTTGCGAACTCCTTTTTGATAAACTGATTGCTGCTGATCAAATTTATCATATATAACTTCCATTTTTTCTCGAATGTTTTTCAATTCATTTTTGGCTGATTTTAACCTTTTCCTTCTAAAAGGTAAACAAAGAAAATCTAGGTACTCCAAAAGACTTAATGATCCTGTTCTAGGAGCCGTATTTGTGACATCATGGTAGCACCACATTGCTACTACTGCTAAAACAATGGCTAAAAATAGATACATTGGATGTTTCTTCAATAAAAATTTACAGAAGGACACTATAGCACCCAGCATTTTAATGGATTTGGTCAAATTGCAACGGATTTTTTTTTTTTTATTTATATCACCAAAAATTTTAAGCCAAAAAAATTATAGAACGAAAACTAAATAGTTTTTCATGAATACATTTTTAAAACAATTTCCAGTTAGTTTGTAAATATATGTAATTTTTTTTAGATCTGACATGTTACTTAGTTTTGAGGCAATAAAAATATCTCATGTATAAAATGGTATATTCTTATGAATTAATAATACATAATAGTTCTAGCTTACATATATACAAAAATTGAAGAATTTTATATTCTCTTCTAAAAATTACCTCTCTTTACGGTGCCCTAACTTCTAACTTTTTTAACCCATCCAAAAAGTACATTGTGTTTAGCTTGGAGTTTACAGGTGAAATTTTTTATTTGACTGTCAAGTCTTTCAACTACCATAAAACAAAGAAAACTAATCAATGAGAACCAGACCTTGTTATAACATTTGACCAAGTGTGAGCCAGGAAATTTTGCTAAAACAAATTCTTCTTTATACAAAAAAGGAATATTTTTCAATAATTGGAATATCCAAGGCAACTAGTAATACTATATAGTGTGTTTCGGCTATCGTGCAACTCTTAAGATGTCATCATTCAACAATACATCATTATTCATCTTAAAAAAAGAAGCTATAACTTCTTGATTAGCGGTATCTTGGTTAGGTTGGGTTAGATTAATAAGATAGTCGGACTAATTGATTAACTGACTTAGACCCTACTAGTCTATTGTGATGCCCATGCTGAACAGAGGACCTTAACCGTTTTTACTTATGAAACCATTTGAAAGGCATTACGAATATTTTATAAAGGCTGTAGTTTTTTAAAGTTTATTGTTTTGAAAGAGCTAAAAACGTATTAGGCATGCGTGACTACCAAATCTGTATAAAGATTAGTGTGAGAGATCAATCAAAGAGATAAAAGATAAAGATCAGTATACAATCCACGAAATTAGTATTAAACTCGCTTGGTGGGCTGATTTTTCTATCGAGTATCGTTCACATTAGCTTAGATGGAACATAAGTGTCTCCATTTACAGTTTGCAAAATATTACTTATTTAGAACATTCAAACTTTTAATGACAATGAAAATGCTCGACCTAGCAGTATGTTCCTGGTTCGCATTATTGCGAGACAGAATATGTGACTATAAGTCTCATTCAGTTTCAAGAAGAGATGATATTCAGTCACTGCTTGAAAGAGATTTAAACTAGACAGTCACAAATTGAAGTTTTCATCTACTTCCAAACAGAAACGATATTCGGTCTCTGTTTTTATACTAACATCATCTCAACATAATTCTATTCTTAGTAAGAATAGAAGAAAATGGGTCAGAAAATGGTTCTAATCTAAGTAGGAATAGAAGAACATGGATTTATGTTCTTCAGGCATGATATTCACTCTCTATTTGAAGGATATTAAAACCACATAGTCAGAGAGTAGAGGTAAGCAAAGGCGATGCTTGGTATTTGTTTTTATATTTAAAATAGAAGAACATGACTCTGTCTAAATAGAATAATAACTTTATCTTCTTTTATTCTTAATAAAAACAGGCTAACGTGGGTTTCTTTTTCTCTATTGTTAGTAAGAATATAAGAACGTGGGTAAGTATTTTATCAGACGAAAATTGCTATAGCTTCTACCAACAGGATAACTCCCAAACTCCTTCACCTTTCCTGCATAGCAACAACTACTGAATGGATATCTTTTTTTAAATATTAAATTTAATATAATTAATAATATGGAAAATTCCGTATGAACTAAAAATCTTAACTAATTAATTAAAACCAAAATATCCTTCAGGCCTGAATGCACAATTCAATACTTAATAAAAATATGTATGTGCATATACAGCTATATAGCTGTATATAAGTATATTTGTATGTGCTACATGGCATAATTGATTGCATATTTTTAACGATTTATGTATGAAATGTTTACAATAATTAAAAATTATTAATATAATATTATTAATTAATAAATAAAATTAAAAAAAAAATTATGTTAAAACGAAATGATATTAAAAAATAATAACGATAATTAAATTAAATATTTTTTTTGCATTATTTAAAAGTGTTTCAGTTATCACATTAATTATTTTACATTTCAATATTATTATTTAACTTTTTTTCTTATTTTCAGATAATTTGCATAAATTTGAGTGAAATGTAGCGGAAGAAATATTGCCTGAAATATGTGCGAGTGGTTATAATAAAGTAGCAGGCAGGTGAAGCGGGAAGTTAATGTCATATAGATGTCCATAAATCATTGCAAAATCGCTACTGCAACTTAAAAACAACATTCCATATAAATTCCACCAACAATCCGCAAAAACTACGGAAAGAAAATATTACCAACCAACACAATATTTATACGTGATATATTAAATAAATGAAAATAAAGAACATACGAGACTCATTCGAATTGACCGGAAAAGAGAACTCCTATCAATAATAAATGTTGCAGTGACTGCACTTAAATCTATGGGAAAAATTAAATATTCAACATTAAGTTTTTGTTGCAATTGCAGTACAATTCATTTCAGTTCAATGGCAAAAGTGCCAGCAACATATAGCATCGGCAGCAGCAGCAGCAACAGCAACAACAACAATAAAAGGCTTATCATTGCTGGTATGTGTATGAGAAGTGTTCATAAAAAATCATAATAAAATCACAGCCAATAAACTTAATAATAAACACATAAAGAAACAGGCGAACATAATACCATATATAGACATTGTTACAGACACAGATATAGATACAGACGTTGATGCAGACTCAGACTCAGATACAGATACAGATACAGATATAGATATGTGTGCTTATGTATACCTTTGCACATATTGTATAAAAACAGATAAATAGAGCGAATGAGTGACTGATAATAAAAACTGTTAAATGTTGCATAAACGAATTGTTGTGTTGTGTGCTCATATGTAAATCTCAATGATTTAAAAATATCCATTAAAATGCCTGTAATAATTTTTTAAATTGAATAGAAAACAAGGCAAGTCCCCACATATCCTGTGTCATAATCAAACTCAAACAAAACATATCCTGTCACATGAAGTGCATGAGTGCAGAATGCAATTATAAACTGCAAGAATAAACATTGCGTGCGAAATTATTTACATTAAAAAATAAAATTAAAAAATAAATTATTTGAGGCTGTGCAATTAAAATCGCTGTGCAACTGGCAACTGGCAACTGGCAATTGGCAACTGCCTATACTAAACATAAATAAAAACTACACGAAATTTAAATTCAACAAAAAAAAAAGAATCCGCCAAAATGTTCATAATTACTGTCATCAAATTGCTGCTAATTGCGCTGAACATCTTTCCCAGCCGCTTCACCAATCGCAAAGTGATGTTCCTCATCTATATGACCAATCTCGTTACTCATGGTAAGTGCAAATATGTATTCCGGATTTGATATAATGTATTCCAGCATTTTATGACGCCGTTTAAAATTCCTTTTTTGTATCTCATTTACATGGATTTTTGTGATTTGTTTTTTTTTTTTTTTGTAATCTGAAAATTTGATATTTTGTGGTAATTAACGCCGCTTAAGTGTTTGGGGTCATTAAAAAATTGTAATTGCTTTGTCAAAGTAATTAAATGAAATTCATTAAAATTTTTGTGTGATTTTTGTAAACATAAATTTCGTTTATTGTTTAATAAAATCACGAAATGCAATATAAAATTATATATTTTCAAAATTGAATTCAGCACACAAGGATATGTCGGGTGCAATAATAAAATTATAATAAAATGTAACGATATTTTATAGTTTGTAATAATATCATAAATATTAACAACCTCTGTTGCAATAGCCGTTCTAAATGTGCGACAAAGATAGTGCTATCATTCAAAAAGCGGGTTAAGTTCCCTGTTTATTGAGCCATTGCATCCGGTTGCAAAATGAAAATCTGCATCAAATGCAAGTAAATACATACAATCACTCTATCCTCGTAACTTTGGATATCAACTACAGTCACCGCAAAATTTTCATTGAAGCGGTCAAACTCAATTGATCTCCTCATCAAAATCCCCTATTAATATATTAACGGTATCAGATTCACACCTTCAATCCGATGCTGCAAATGAGACTTATTCATTAGCATATTCACTAGCAACTCCAAATAGTATCGGATGGTAACAACTGCATTTTAGTCGAAACTTAAGACTGATATACCTTAGAGAAAACTATAACTGCTATCTCTAAGAGAGGAGTGACTTGGACAATGGCTTTCGTGAATATCAGTGGAAAACCATTGAGCAGATATGTGAAACAATCTTAGTATAGCATTTGAACTCCACACAGTATTGAATGGTGCCTATTGCATTTAAATCGTCACTTAGGGTTGGTGCATCTTTTCTCATAAATAACTTGACTGCTATCCCTAACAAGTAAGGCCTTGGGACAATATCTTCCGTGAATATCAGTAGAAAACCCTTAAGCAGATATATGTCATAACCTTAGTACAGGGATAGGACGACTATGGTAATAACGTTACTATTTTTATTCGATTTTTAAGCAATTACTTCGTTTTTCCTTTTTTTAGTATGTAAGTAATGTACTTCAAACTGCTTCCAGTGGAAAACGATACATGTGGGTTGTTCACGAGTTCGAGTAACACCCTCGGTATGGATTATTAATTATAGTAATATCTATATATATTATATATTAATAATATATAATAATATAATAATATATTATATATTAATAATATCTATTAATAATATCTAATAATATATTAATAATATCTATAATATGCTATTTAATACTTTCTCACATATTTTAACTGAATCTTAAATTCTGATATGGCAAATTTTAAATGCTTAACGATTCCTAAAATTTTTTGAGAAAATTTATAAAATTTGTATGGTTAAATACAAATTAAATTTAAAAGATAAAACAAGAACTATAGTCGTTATTCCTTTCCATATTCAATTGAAAGTACTGTCCACTTAAAATAAAAATTATGTACTCTATGCATATATAAAAATAATATGTAAAATTAATACAAATTTAAAAATCACTTCATTA